GATGTTTGGAATCTCCTGCCCAAGGACAAATCCACTGCCATCATTGCCGACTATAGGCTTGTGAAGAAGACGACTGCCCTTTCATGGCACTTGCTCAAATATTTCCGCAGTATGCTCATCATGCAATGTGCATTGGCGGCTGTCGCTGGTATTTTTACTTTTGCTCCCACCCTGCTGCTCAAGGCCATCCTTCAGTATGTAGAACGCCCCGATGACGCGCCTGTCAGCGTTCTCTGGCTCCTTGTAATTGGCCTCCCAATCCTTGATACTCTTCGTTCGTACTGCGATGGCATGGCCCTGTGGATTGGCCGCAGGATCTGTATCCGCGTCCGTGCTATCATTGTCGGTGACATTTACGCCAAGGCGCTGCGTCGGAAGGCTGCCGCTGGCAAAGACAAAGTACTGCTCGGCGACAAGGCCAAATCTACCAAGGATCAAGACGAAGAGTCTGACAGCCAAGATGCCATTAGTAAAATCAAACGCGCGCTCGGTTTTGGCGGCAAGAAGCAGAAAAAGGCTGCCAGCACCGATGACGCCGAAGCTGCTGGTCCTATCAAGGCCACCGAGGGCGAAGATGAGCAAGCCAACTTGGGAACCATCATCAACCTCATGTCAGTCGACAGCTTCAAAATTGCCGAAATTACTGCCTACTTGCATTTCCTGTGCGCTTCGGCCCCCACTCAGCTGGTCATCTCCGTCTTCTTGCTGTGGCAGGTCATGGGCCTCAGCGCCATTCCCGGCATCGTTGTCATGGTCTTCCTTTTGCCCGTCAACTACATGCTGGCTCGTGGCTTCAACATCACTTCAAAGAACATTATGGCTGCTACTGACAAGCGCATCAATGTGACAAACGAGATCCTCCAGAATATTCGCATTATCAAATACTTCGCCTGGGAACGACGATTCGGCAAGATTGTGGATGAGAAGCGTCAGGCCGAACTCAAAGCTCTTCGCTCCCGATTTATGCTCTGGGCTCTCGCGGTTGCCATCTGGAACTCGGTTCCTGTACTCATCACGTTTTTCTCTTTCCTGGTGTACACACTCATTGAGAAGAAGCCGCTATATCCCTCTGTTGCGTTCACGGCCATCTCTCTCTTTATGCTTCTTCGTGTTCCTCTCGATCTCCTCGGTGACATGTTCGCCCACGTCCAGGAAGCTAAGGTCTCTATTGATCGAGTTGAGGAATATCTTATGGAGGAAGAAACGGAGAAGTACAAGCAGCTCGGCCTGGATAACGTGGATGAAGATGGCAAGAAGCACATTGGCTTTAGAGACGCAACTCTTATTTGGGGTGGCAAAGACAGTGTTGCCGAAGATGGCTCCAGGGCTTTCCGACTGCTTGATCTTGATGTCGACTTCCAAATTGGCAAGCTGAACATCATTGCAGGTCCCACTGGTTCTGGTAAAACATCCATGCTTATGGGCCTTCTCGGCGAAATGACACTTGTAGAGGGCAGGGTATTCTGCCCCGGTGGCCGCAGCCGAGAGGATGTTCGCCCTGATCCTGAGACTGGCCTTGCCGATACAGTTGCATATGTCGCCCAAGCTGCTTGGTTGGTCAACGCTAACATTAAAGACAACATCATCTTTGCCGCGCCTTTTGATGAACAGAGATACAAAGATGTCATCGTTGCATGTGCTCTTGAGCGAGATCTCGAAATTCTGGATCACGGCGATCAGACCCTGGTTGGTGAGAAGGGTATCACGCTCTCTGGTGGCCAGAAACAACGGATTTCCTTGGCTCGTGCTCTCTACTCGAACTCGGCTCACATTCTCTTGGATGACTGTCTCAGCGCTGTTGATTCGCACACGGCTCAATGGATCTTCACCAACTGCATCAACGGTCCCCTGATGAAGGGTCGTACCTGCATTCTCGTCACTCACAACATTCAGCTCTGTGTGCCCTCATCCGACTATGTGGTCCTGCTTGACAATGGAAGAGTCACCGCCCAGGGACCTTCACAAGAAGTTATCGCTTCCGGCAAGCTCGGCGAGGAAATTCAGCGTTCCCGACCTGCTTCTCATACTGCATCTCGTGTTCCGTCTCGCGTCCCTTCGAGCGTTGGTGACGAGGAGACCATGGTTAATAGCAACGGCGATGCATCTGATGCCGCAAGCACCTCTAAGAAAGACAAGAAGAAGGAACAGCCTCCACAGGAGGAAACTAAAGCAAGTGGATCCGTCAAATGGTCTGTCCTCAGGATCTACCTTGCGTCCATGGGACCCTGGTGGTTCTGGCTCGTCGCTTTCATGGTTTTTGGCATGCAGCAACTCTCGACTGTTGCAACGAATATTTGGGTCAGACAGTGGGCCAACCAATACATCCAAGAGGAGAACGTCACGGTTGTTTTCGGTTCCATGTCAGCTACTTACGGTACCGAGTCCTTCCCCAAGGGTTCTTGGGCGTCTATTGCCAACCTTGGCAAAGCATATCCTCCTCAGAGCGAGCCAAGTCTGCGTGTGCCAGACGGCCAGATTGCGCTCGGGGCCAAGGCCATGCCAGACGTCAATGTCGCCTACTATCTCGGAGGACTCGCCGTTATTGGTGCACTCGGCGCGGCGGCTGCCCTAATTCGAGATGTTTGGATCTTTTTTGGTTCTTTGACTGCTTCCAGGCGACTCCACGACCGTCTCATCACCTCTGTGACCCGAGCCAAATTCAAGTTTTTCGATGTCACTCCTCTCGGCCAACTGATGAACCGTTTTAGCAAAGATCTCGAGGCCGTCGATCAAGACATCGCACCCACCGCTATTGGCGTGATGACCTGTGCCCTCTCCCTTATCGTGACCGTTGCCCTCATTGCTTACATTACTCCTGGCTTCCTTATCGCTGCTTTCCTCATTGCGGTTCTTTTCTACGTTGTCGCCGCTTTCTATCTCCGTGCATCTCGCGATTTGAAGCGTCTGGAATCCGTTCAACGCAGCCCGCTCTTCCAGCAGTTTGGCGAAACTCTCAGTGGTATGACTACGATTAGAGCTTACGGCGACGAGCGACGCTTCATCCGTGATAATCTGGCCAAGATCAATACTCAGAGCCGACCTTTCATCTACCTGTGGGCCTGTAACAGATGGCTCGCATTCCGAGCTGATTTGCTGGGCAACTTTGTATCTTTCTTCGCAGGTGTCTTCATCATCATTAACCTGGGCAGGATCGATGCCGGTGCGGCTGGTATCTCGCTGAGCTATGCGATGAATTTCACGGAGAACGTCCTGTGGCTGGTCCGCCAGTATGGCATGAATGAGCAAAACATGAACTCGATGGAACGTGTCAAGGAATATCTGGATGTTGAGCAAGAAGCAGATGCTATCATCGAGGATAGCCGGCCGCCAAAAAATTGGCCCGCTGAGGGTGGAGTCGAATTTGTCAAGTACTCTACTCGTTATCGTGCCGAGCTGGATCCGGTTCTTAGAGGCATCTCTCTCAAGATCAATCCCAGAGAGAAGGTTGGTATCGTCGGCCGAACCGGTGCAGGCAAGAGCTCATTGACGTTGGCCATCTTCCGTGCGCTGGAAGCTGACTCCGGAAGCATCGTTATTGACGGCATTGACATCAGCAAGATTGGTCTCCAGGATCTCCGGGAAAACATCACCATTGTGCCTCAGGATCCCACCCTCTTCATGGGCACGATCCGAACCAACCTTGACCCCTTTGATCAATATACCGACGAAGAAGTATTTGAAGCTCTGCGACGTGTGCAGCTAATCGGACCTGATGAAGCCACTACTCCTAGTGCTCCCACTACTCCCGCCATCCAAGTCACCGCCGAAGGTGAGAGCGCAGAAGGTTCATCCGGTTCAAGAACACCGTCAGTTGCCACGAACAAGAACGTCTTCCTCGATTTGGAATCTCCTGTAACCGAATCCGGCTCCAATCTTTCTCAGGGTCAACGACAACTCTTGTGTCTGGCACGAGCAATGCTGAAGAAGCCAACCGTCATGGTCATGGACGAGGCCACGGCATCTATCGATTACAACACAGACTCCAAGATCCAAGAAACCATCCGCGAACTCACAGGAACCGTCATCACAATCGCTCACCGTCTCCAGACCATTGTCGACTATGACAAGGTCCTGGTTCTCGACAAGGGTGAGGTCGTCGAATTTGACCACCCGTGGGAGCTGATCAACCGGAAGGATGGAACTTTCAGAAGCATGTGTGAGACAAGCGGCGACATGGATATCTTGGTCAAAGCAGCCAAGAAGAAGTGGGAGGAAGGCCAGCTATTAAGCATTGGAGAGTGAACGAACGAGATTAAAAAAAAAAAAAAAGCGACTGGGGTGAAATAAAACATCTGCATTGTTCATCATCAGAAGAAAAGCGTCTCTAGAAATAGGAAGAGAAAAAGGGGACCCCCTTTGGAAGCATATACAGGCACCGAGGAGTTGGATTTCCTCGGATGCAGGCTCCTAATTTTATTGTTATTATTCTCTCCATTGGAAATACATGCGAGAGAGCGGGTAGGGGATACAAAACATTATGTATGAGCATGAATAGTAATTATATATTCCAAGTTATTGATAGTACATGAATGTATTATTGGGCACACTTTCCTTTGAGCCCAATCTGATGTTTGTAAGGTTTATACCATAAAAAAAAGGAAAACCCTGGCCTGCTGAGCCTACACCCATTACTCACTAATGTCAGATCCGGCTTCATTTCCGAAATCAGTGGTGTTCAAAATATGAAGAGAATGCTTGAGCATCCTGACTTTTTAAATAAAGAAGAGTTGTTCAGCACCTCAATCTTGTTTTCCGGTACTCCAGCTGTATCATGGGCTACTGCTGCTATTATTACTACTACATGCACCACATGCACCACATGTACTGCTGCTACTGCTGCTACTACTGCTATTTTTAATATATTTAGTAGTCGTATATGTATATGCTAATAAGTGGGTGGACTGGCTGCCTTATTACGCTACAACTGCGGACTTGAATAATGAAATCGAAATCGAGTGCTGAACAATTTCTCCCTTGTCTAATTATGTGGTCTATGGCTACTATTTCGTACGTCCGACACCAGCAGCTGGCTGGCTGCCCCTTTCATTCAATCTAAACCCTGAGCCATATTTACCACCAAAGGACGGATCGTTTTCTCTTACATTGACATTGACGTATTGCGTCGTTCGGTCTATAGACAATTGTTGCAGAGAGGCATCTGTCATGGATCCTAACCACTGCGAGGAGAAATTTCCAACTTTTATGTTCTTGGCGTTTAGGAGATCTCCCACGGTCGATATGAGAATCTGCTGGCTGTTGTCCTCGGCGGAAACGTCACCAAAGACGTGTACTCTCTGCCTAGAGGCCTGGTCGGCCGCCATGTTACAAACCTCGAGGCATTGCTTGGCTATATCAATCTCCTTTAGGAGTCGAGCCCGATCCTGCTCAAACTCATCGGGCCGCAATGATACCTCCGTACTTAGTGATTTCGCCGATAGGTCGACGAGCCGTTTTTGCAAGTCTGTAATCATGAGTACCATTCTGTCTCTGGCCTCGCTTAGCGCGATGGCTGTCTGGCGGCGATCTTGGTTCGGCTCAGCATCCAGACGCTGCATATTATCTTGCAAGGACTGTATATGAGACCGCGCACTCTCGCAGATGAGGATGCACTGCTGAGCACTTTGCCTTTCCTCCTCCATTCGCTTGACACTCGATCCAGCATTGGGGTCAGGCTCAGAGCGCGAACGGTCGGCGATGGCAGCTAATTTGTCGTCGATGCTCTGAAGATGAGCCTCGAGATCAGCGGTTGTCTCTTGAATCATCTCATTGTACTGATCCAACGCTTCGCGAGTCATTTTGACATTTGTCCTATTCATCTAGAGTCAGCATTATATAGAAAGAAAGAAAACCAGTCAACCAGCACGTATGACTGCCTTTGTCGAAAGCTATAAGCTGAAATCAGATGCAGCTACCAGGGGCGACGAACATATTAAGGCTGCCAAGAGCAATAGCAATGGTAGATTTATAGCCGGATAGCATGTCTTTAAAGTCTCTGATATCGCCACCCATGTATCTGATCTGAGCCCAGTCTCGGAAGCTCGTTCGCGAGCCAGCAGGCGCATGTTTGGTACACTTTATGATGACGGCATTAAACTCCTGGCATGTCTGGTGGCAACACAGTACCGGAAGCTTCAGCATAGAGACAATGGGCCCTTCATCAGTAACGACATTTTTGAGCGATTCGAGAACCTGTATGAGCGACTCGAGCTCGGAGCGTAGATCTCGAATCGTCCGCTCGTAATTTCGAAAGGACTGGATCGTCTCATGGAGAGATTTGCCAGCCTGGATTGCGCTCGTTAGGAGCGTCAGGACGCCGCATGATATGTCGATGGAACTCATGCTGTCTGTCCAGGCGTTCTGTATCGCTAGAATGATGGTGAATTTTTGCTTCGAAAGGTGCATTTGATAACTCGAGGGGTGGAACAACGAGACGCATGGATTTATACGCCTGCTAGAGTGCGAAACTGACGCCTTACTCAGACTCACCCGCAGCCTTATTATCTAGCTGTGGGGTAAGCAGTTTGGCGCGCGCGAAACCATACGCCGAATTGTATAAGAGAGCCACCCGTACGCAGCTGTGGCTTTATTGGACCAATCGTTGTCATTGATGCATCTCCAGCGCCTGGTAGCGGCCTCCCATTCTCGCGTACAGCAGTTGTTGGTTGTGTTACGTGCTAGTAGTAAGAATAGCAGTGCTGCTAATCGCAGACTTGAATCTGCTCCGAGAATGGCATGGCGAGGTGGTGATGGCGGTGGGGTAAGTTGAGGTGAAGGATGCCTTGGGCGCCTAATCACGAGCAAAGTTAGGCCAGCGATGAGCTGCTTCCAAAGCTTAGAGCGAGCGTTCAGCAGCGACGGTCAAACATTATTCCACGAAGCTTCTTTGGCCCCTCATACCCTGTCCATCAAGGGTCATATTGTGTGAATCATTGTTTGTATGAGTATGTTTCGACTAATCTCCGTAGGCCATGCTGCTGTTTATTGCCCGCTGCTCCAAACTCAGCTTCGGCGCACTTGGAACATGATTTCTGTTTCAACCGGTCTTTTTCGTCTCGCTTCGTCTCACACCCAAATCCTCGTGTAAACCGCAGATTCGGCCGTTTCCAGAAAGGGAATCATGCCACGAACGAGTGGAGGCGGAGGCGACGTAAGCTGCTGGGCTTGCACCTACAATGTCCTCGCACTTGTTCTTTCATAGCGCCATTCAGCCGCATGGGTAGGCGCTATTAGCACTAGCCGACTGTTAGCAGGCCTTGATGTCGACGCACTTGTGCATCTTCACGCACCCACCGCCCATAAGGTACCTACGCCTGGTCCCATCTCGGGCCTGGTGACTGCCTAAGGGGCGGAGAGTAATAAGCAACAAAGCCACCCGCCAAGGCCAGATTGTGTTTCTTTCCTTCTTGCCAACTGTCTTGTCGAGAATCGAGATCTGGCGACTCTGGAGTTGAAGAGAGAGAGAGCTGATTGATAAGCACGAGCGTGAGAAAAAGAAGAGAAAAAGAAAAGAGGAAAAGAGTCCAGAGATTGGAGACATCCAGGCAGCGGCAAGCGTACCCACGCGTGTACGTCGTACCTTCCACCGACTTTAAGCTTCTTTTTGCTTATCGATTCCACCAAACTTATTTTCTTCAACACCAGACCTATTTTCCTTACTCCTACTTTTTGAGTTACTCTCCTGCCTCATAGCCAACTCCTCCGACACTATGGGCAAGCCGGACTTTCTGCCGCCTGCGTCTCCCGCAAATGGACCTGTTACTCCGTTGACCGAGTCTGCAAGCTCCATCTCTCTCAATCCAACCACTTCCACATACTCTGCCTCCAATCTCGGCAACCATCGCCAGACGTATTTCGACGATGATCCCGCCGAAATCGCTGCCGATGACCTCCCTCCCCTCTATGACGAGCACGAGAACGATGCTGTTCCTTTCATCGACCCTCTGGCCCCTGCCGCGGGCCCTGCAGCTACCGGCCTGACTATTGAGCCATTCAAGCGTGATGCTCGCTCAGACACCGTCTATTACATGGACCCGCGCCTCGACTCCGATCCCAAATTCCTCAACGAAACCCTTGTCCACCTCTCACAATTGCCTCCTCGGCCTTTTGCCCAAATCCGCGGCACTCACACCGAGACTCGCCGAAAGTCAGATGACAAGACCGAGCAGGTCACAGTAGTTGATTTTGACATTGAGATCGAGCTCACACATCTGCTTTACACCAACATTCAAGATCCTACAAATGGGGCTTGGCGAGAAATGCGATCCGTCGGCAACCTCGAAAAGGTTCGCCGTGGAACCATCTTCGCAACTCGTGCTCCCGGTTTCGGTGGTAGCGGTGGCATTATTGAGAATGGCGAGCCCACCGTCGAGGAATGGTGCCACCGCTTCTGCGCCAGCCGAGCTGGCCTCAAGAACATGGCTTTTGAGCGCCGTGTTACCGGCTGGGACTGGGATTATTTGAAGAAACATCTGGAGCGCCTGGTCAAGGATACCAACTATCGCGGCCACACCAGCATCACATTCCCGGTGAGGAACTCGCGCGTGGAGATTTACAATGCTTGCCGCGTGAACCAAATGCGCTTGACCAAGTGGATCGAGGTCATGTTTATGCTGACGCTCATGTTCCTCTTTGCATGGCCCTACCTGTTCTTCCGCACCAAGCGCTGGGAAACAGTCTACACCGAATGGTCCATGAGCCGCCAGGAGCCAGATGGCACAGGCTGCATGGAACGTCGATATACTTCCATGAGTGAGGCACAGTGGTATCACATGTGGGCGAGAGCCATCCAGAAAGCCGTGTTGGAACGCAGGCAGGGACACCTTGACCAGGGAGACGTCGAGAGGGCTGATCAGCCGGCCGATCAAGCTGGCGGCTTTGCTGGCATGGTACAAGCTGGTGTAGAGGCTATGGGGGTTGTAAACCGATCATTTGGATGGGGAGGCGATAGCGGCAGTGCTGGAGGTTCACGCTTCAAGTTTGGAAGGCGTTGATTGAGCTATGGCTTCTATAGCTTTGGTAAAGAAGCATGATCATGAAAGACTGGAGATGCGCATTTTCATTAGACACTGGACTCCTCTCCTCCCTCACTTCTCTACACAACAACATTTTTCATTGGGTCATTCTGGAGTTACAGGGTAGCATGATGCTTTCAAAAAGGCGAAGCAATCGGTCAACTATTGTACAATCTTTAGTCATTTTTTTCTTCTGGTTATTATACATACACTACTGTCTACGCACCTTCTAAAATCATCTGTTTATGATCTATCTACTGTTGATTGCTGTTTGCTTTCTCTCTCTCATCTCTATTGTTCTCGTAGAAAACCAATGGAAGCTATCAAATGCGGATCCCGCTCGGACCAATGAATTTGCCCCGCCGATCTGCTTAAACGCGGCTGACATGCCATCACTAAGCAAACTGGCTTCCAGCTCTCATTACATTTACATCTCGCCTTCTGCTCTCTATATCTAGACTAAAACTCGCAAAATCACACATTCTCAATTCCTGTCCGCATTACGTCGACATACCATTTAGAAAATCGACACGGGAGTCCGAGTGACCCTCTTTCAAATTGCTTCCCCCCCGCATCACTGAGAAGATACGGAACGAGTTGACAAGCAGAAGAATGGACATCTCCAACCCGCGGAGGATTCTGGCTGTTAGCCTGGAAGGCTCAGAATCGCATCTGAGCCGTGTTCTCAAAGGTACATCTATATTTCCTTTGAAGTTATTTATACTGGATTGTTTGGGAGGGTGCGTCTTTTATTAGGCGAGGTCTATTCGCGACCTTTTGGCGTTGAAGAGGATACGCGAGTTCTCAAGATGCATTCATCGTCATCGCCCCTTTTTGGGAAAAGGCTTCACATATTATCTATGGACCTATATCTCGTTAAACAGTGGATCAGACGAATCGTTATTCTTTTCTTGTTAATTGAAAGAGCTAGGCTAACTTGGTCTGGAAGATCTCACGGGCTCATCCCCAGAATCCTCATCAGCCTCACTAGCAGGTATCACCCACGACCTTGAGCTCAAAACACCCTACTACACAGCCTCCATCCCAATCTGGTTAGATGTCATCGCATCGCCTTCAGAATGGGCCTCATCGTTTCTATCCGAAGAGGCCCACGAGGTCCTTGCCGTTTTGGGCGGCCTTATCCTCGTCTTTGTGATACCGAATGAGAAGCCTGCTGCTTTGACTCGGGATGACCAACCTCCTAGTCTGATTCGACATGTGAGCAGTGTCGTTCAGGATGGCCTGGGTGGGTGGAATTGGGATGGGGTGAGGCTGGCTATTGGGATTGGCGAGGGCGACGCCGATGAGTGGGATGAGCTGTGTGCGGAAGCTGGAATGGAGTTTGTTCAGCTTAAAAGTGGGCAAATGGAAAAGAATGAATTTGGAGGTATGATTGATCCTTTCATCCTTTTTTCTTTTTGTCCATTTTCACATCTCTCTTTCACTGTGCCTGCCGTGTACTGCACGGCTATTGAAGCAAAACATCTCACTGAAACGTAAAACGCACCAACAGAAAAGACGGGTATCCCCCGCGTCCGGGAAGCACTGGAATCAAACGACTGGGAGCATATATTTGTTGGAGATCCATTATCTGACTCTGACGAGGCGCATTCTGAAAAGTCCGACGGCGCCGACGATTTCAACCCAGAGAGCTTAGAATTTGGCGTCGACCGTTCTGATTTCGAAGGCCTGCGCATGGCGATATGGGAGACGAGTCATCGCGAAACAGGCGATTCCGAAGATGCCGACACGGCCAATGCACCGAAGACTTCAGATGTAGCGGGTGGCTCTGCCGCCGACGCAAAGGACGAAGACGGTGAGCTTGGCGATGAGGACATTGCAAAGGTGGAAAAGATGATGAGAAAGCTTCAAGCGGCGAAAGAGATGGGCGAGGGCATGAGTGAGGCGCAAAGAAAGCGATTGGCAGCTAGGGCAGTGGAGGAGGTGATGCGAGAGCTGTGAAAGCTGAAGAGTTTTTGTAATCTGTTTTTCTTTTCGACTTGGAGGCTCATGAGTGGTGCCGGAGATGCATGGCCTCATGTTGGTTTTTATGCTGAATTGGCGGTCAAGTTTCATGGCGTATCATGTACCAGCACGCGGGCAATGCTGTAGAACTTACTCTGTTCACTTGACGTGTGTTGGGCCTTTCCAAGGATCATCGTGCTCTGTATTTGTTATACAAACACCGCCATATCTCGCCAAGCCTAAGACACCTCTACACTCTTTACCGAGTTTAGTAATATGGCTTACTAGAAGTACATCATGCATGCTGGAGTGATACCTATGTACTACGATATCCGTGGTTAGCTGCCAGGGGCAGCCATCAAGATCATGCCAAAGCGTTAAAGGTGAGACATGCGCAAGGAGGGCTCTCGGTGACTTTCGTCCGTATCTTGTAAGCGTGTCTTGGCCGCTGGCCTAGAACGGCGAGAAACGCAAGGGACCTGAGACATGAAAGATGCAGCTGCGAAAATCAGTAAAGGATCTCGATGTTTTTGCTGCATTGATTGCGCCTCGAGATTTGCGAGTTAGGCTCCTCCATCTTAGAAAGAGAGCCAAGATTGGAGTTTGAAGTAAAATCATGTGTCTGGAGTGCCGGAGTCATGACTTTAGATTTTCTTCACGAGTAGAGGGAATTAGCCGCCCTCACCGGTTAGACTTGTTCTTGAACTGGTCGAGGCTAGTCTTGGTCAAGGTGAGACAGACAACACGCTGGCGGGTGATGCTGCACTCAAAATGCTCCATTGGCTAGTGTGGCAAAAAGGGAGACAAGAAAAAAACAAGCCTAGATAGCCAGGTAAGGATTGAAGCAGTATGAAACATCGTACAGAGTGAATCGCTCATGATCTCTGCGTTTTGTATCATAATAGATTCGGTTCTGTAACACAGACGCAAGCTCTGTTAGAGAGCAGATCAGTCTACACTCTGGATCGATTTCGTATACTTGAGTCAGTGACGATGTAGCCATTGCTGATACATGTGCTTTTCCTTTCAAAACAGAGATACGACTTGACTCCACCACTGTAAGTGCTGATATCCTAGCCGGATTGTTCGTGGCTCAATTATGTAACTCCAATTGGAGGGGTCCAGTTTGCTAAATGCTCGAGTCAAGTCGAAAGGTATTAATAGAAATCAAAATCCGATAGTATATATTCCATAATCATTGCAAAAGGACCTTATTTTTATTTTCTTGCCCAAAAAGACGGCTTAGGTTCGTTCGCTTTGGCGGCCATTCCGACAATCGCTAAAATCAGGCGCATATCGTGAATTTTTTTTTTTTGTTTGCCCCTACTCCGCGAAGATCCGAGCGTGGCAAAAAAAAGTTCAAGCATCCTGCGACACTACTAGTCTGATCGCCTTCAATAGTTTTGCCAGTTTACTAGACATGTCAAATCTTGACCGACGGCTAAAATGACCAGCCCGTAGTGACGTTTGCGCAAGGGGGATTGCTGTTTCTTCCAGTACGAATAACTACCTAGAATCTTTTGGAAGACTGGGCGGGCGTAGCTTGGCGACTCTGATCGCCCGGACTTTCGTAGCAATCGTTAAGCCGCTGCCTGCCACTAGATGCCAAGGGAGGCTGAATGATCTTGCCAGCATGTATAGCTTGATGTTGTTGAGCCTGGAGAAGATTGACAAACGTGTAAGCAAAAATGGTGACATGCATTATTTTCTACCAAGGCTCCGTCTCATGGCAGAGCTAAAAACATGTGGTCATTCAAAGCCGACGGCAAGGTCTCGTCTCGACAGGCCGCGAGACACAAGCACGAAAAAGTCCATGCACAGCACTGCTAAGTTGGAGCAGCGGGCTGGGATCATGTGGAGAAGGATAGAAAGCCGTGCCCATGATGGATCGATCGGAGGTGCAAAGACTCGAAATAGAATAGAATGGAAGCCAGAGCACATGGAACTTAAGCCGCGCTAGAGCTCTCTCTGGTGGCAAGCACTCTGCGTCTCGAACTTGCATGTGCGTGAGGATGAGCTCGTCGCTTTTGCGCGATGCTACTCGCACTTGCAACGATCTCTCCTATGATGGTTTAGGTTTAGGACAAAGTCAAGACGGGCGGTTGGGCGGAGCGCCTCCCGACTACTGGTTGGCCGTGGCTGACGCTGAACGCCGCCAAGCGACAGGGTCCCAAAATCCTGGTCTGTCCTAGTCAGGGGTAAGGAGGCTGTGGAGCAGCCTGAGCTTCTCTGAGACCGTTGAGCATGCTGCACTGTGTTCCGGCTCGTACTGTGTGCCGTTTGGGCAGTCTTTGGACTATCGTATTTGGGATGGCGATGTCTAACGTTTCTTTTAAGGCCGACCGGACAGATTCGCTTCCTTTGCTGGGAAGCACTTCGCAGAGCATGTTACCACGTGCGTCGTGTCGATCACGTATCGTCGGTCGGACACTTGGCTTTGATGAAGGCTCCAGGAATAGGGATAGGGCTATCCTGGCCTTCTCTGCGGTCTTGCCGTTGAGTCTCGTCATCTCTCACAGAGACATGGTGCCACTGATGATTAGCAGTGCTCCGTCGTAACATGCGCTTCTCGTATGTATCGGCAGCCGGACGACCTTGTGCCTATATGATGCCACCAGCAGATACTGGAGCCCGGCGCTCCGTCCCTGACGCTTGGCAGGCACTCCGACGTGCACACTTGATACCATCCTGCCGCGATCATCGGCGGCGAACGAACAAGCGAGGCGGCGGACATGTGTCAAAAGGGGGAGGGCTTTTGTTTGAGGCACGCTCACCAGCAGGCCCCTCGGCTGGCGTGACTAGAGAGAGAGCTTGGTTGATAGTGCCCGCCGTGATGGAGCAGTTAAGGGGCGCACTGTATGCACACGAAGACCCGCTCCGTGACCGCATCGGACGCTTCTGCAGGAACACACTTTTTTCTGGGCTGTTCGTCCTGAGGTTGCATCGGCCTTTCTCTCAATGGCACTTATCCCCAGTTGCCTTTAACCACAAAGAGCACCTGGACTTGCATCTACACTAACACCCTTGAGGGATGAATCGCCGGATCTGTGATTCTGCAGCGGGCTGGATTAAGTCGCATGCCATGGGCGAGTAAAGCGCAATAGTATCACCGTCTTGGCAGATAACAATTCAGCTATTCTCCGCAGTTGAACTGCTAGTATGGCACTAAACGATACTTCGTAGTAAACAAAGCTGGTGGTATAAGCGCCTTCCGCAGGTCACCAACAGCTCGCCATGATGTCACCCCACCCACTGCAGCAGCTCGAAAGTCATTACTGGATTGTGGCTTAGGGTTGGATGCTTCGAATCGAGCCATGGCGGGCGAGAGCCACAAACTCTCGCACAGACGCACGAGTAGCGCCATGCATGCGTTGAGGTAACCAAGAGCGGTATGGAGTTGCAGCTGGGATTTGTGCCGCCATCACACCAGTTCCTGTTCCTGTTCTTGTTCCTATCTCTGTATCGAACGCCTGTGCACGCTGTGCAACTTCGTATACTACCCGTAGACAGTACATGGCGATGCTTGATATGGTGAAGAGCTATTGGTATCGTCACTACCGGCAACGCCCGTAGATAGTCGTACTGCACTTGCAGCACTGGGTAGCCAACCGCTAGCATGACAGAAAACGAGCCGAAAAAGATGTTCACCCGTGCGCCTGTCTCACACGTTGCAAGTCATGGTAAGCTCGAGCTGCCGAGGTGAATGGCAGATGGGTGGTGGCAGAAGAATGCTAGATCGAGAAGCAGCAGCATAGATGGCAGGCTTGATAGGCGCTAAGTATGCACGGCGTGAGCCCACGAAAAATCCTACCTGTTTCGCACCTCGGAAACGACTGATACTGTAGGATGCCGCAGATGGACGCGCCAGAGAAGGACTGAGAAAGCAGGCTGACGCCGGGCTAGGTGCTGCGGTAGAGGCTGCCAGGCCGTACGATACGTGTAGATGAGAACATCATGTACCAAGTGTGTACAGTAAGCAACAAGAGCAAATTCCTGTCAGCTGCTTGGCCAAGGACCGCGTTGTGTGCCTGTGTTCATGTTCTCTGTTGGCTTCGATGCTCGCGTACTCCTTACAGGTGCGACTTGCTGTACCGCGGCAGGACACGGGGCCGTACCAGACGATGGCTTTGACGCAGGTACAAGCATGTACTGGTGTTGCATCGTGGTCTTGGATTACCCCGGCTGATACTGCTGTTGACCTCCGACTCGGTCGCTGGTCAAGCTGTGGGGGCTCTGGGTCAAGCGAGGCTCAAGGTGACGATCTCCGGGGGCTAGACTGACTAGAGCTGCCACCTAGTCGTACGAACAGACGCAGTAGCGCAGGCTGATCTGGATACTCAAGCTCTCTTTTGCTTAGTTTTGGAAAGAGACGGAGAAAAGCACGGCGCGCCTGGCTGAAGCGAGTTGCCGCGCTGGTCAAGAGGACGAATATGCTGCTTGGTGCCTATGCAGGTAAAGAAGTAATTGTGGTGTTCATAGTTGGCAGACGACAATAGCGGCCTATTGTCTCGCCGAAGGCACGCATGTCGTCGCCCTTACGACAAACGCGTGAGAGCTTGCACTTGGCGACGAAAGGGGAAGAGAGAAAGGGGACAGACATGGAGGCCAGCCAGTGGAACATCAGATCGCCGGCGTACAGCAACGTGCACGTGCCGTATCTTCTGCACGGTACAGCACTGTGCACGCCCGGCCGGTCTCGAACCGCAAGCCAGCCGGCAACAGCGAGCTTGCATTCTGCTGCTGCGGATCTTGTCCAGCTGTCTGAAAGGGTCTTGCATAAGAGCGTCAATACCTCCACCAGCATGAATAGACGCGCAAAAGAGAAGCACTGGTTGCTCGCATAGGTAGGGACGGATTCTGGGAAGATGTAGGTACTTTGTGTTGCTCCGCACACGTACGGAGCTGCAAGTACCAGACCCTGGTGAAGCTTCAAGGCTCACGTCTCCTTTTTGTCCCTTTTTGCTCCGTCCTCTGGTGGGCAAAACATCACCCGAGTCGCTCCGTCTGGAACTTGTGCCCCGAGCTACAGAGTCTTAGGGCGGTGCATACCCCGTACTTGCAGTATCTGCTGCTCCAAGGATGCGCTCATCGCAGGCTAGCCAGATGGATCCGTTCGGGATAAGACCTACTGGTATCGCTAGTCGCGATTATGGCTGCTTTGGTGACGATGCATGAGAACCAAGCAACAGTAGTCGTTGCAGCCGACGCCCGCTCCATTCCCAGTGCCTTGGCCAGTTGGAGTAGTAGCCGGTACTTGGAGATGTAGTTAGGTACCTGAGGTAGGTAGGTACCAACTCAAAGAGACGAAGCACGGCGGATTCAAGCTGCGAAGGAGTAGAAAGGAGACAACATGAGTCTTGCCAATTGCCGTGCTCTCGCGGGCTCGCGGGATCTGCGGGCATATCATTACGTTGAAAGGCCACAAGAACACACGGATTGTGCCCGTCAAATAGCCGATAAGAGAGCGCGACGTGATAGTCTGGTGTTTTAGCCATGCTGACGGATAATATCATTCTGGCAGTCCGAGTAGACGCTCGCCACCTCAGGTACAACGCCGGGCTGTGTGTTTGCTACAGCTGCCTGCAAGTACCAAAACTGCCAGTGGTTCAACGCTGTAGCACTATACGTGCTCGTATTTGATACCAGACCTTAGTACCAGACTATCTATATCATCCATTCAGTCCCTTTAGACCGCAACACACTCGTACAAACTGGGAACATGCAGCTTGCAGGCTTCGCTTGAAGTGCGATCTCTGGGAAGCATGCGATGCGATGCGATG